GAAGACGAAGATGGCCGTAGACGGGAATCGAAATAATGAGGGATCAGTATAACTTTTGCTGACCAGAATGGAAGATGATAGCAGGCGTGCCTTATAAGGGCCATGCTACTCCTTGTCTCAGAAATCGAGTCAGCAGAACAGGGGAGGGAACCCCGTTTTCCTTTGAAAATGAAGAACAGGCGGGGGCTCCGACGAGAGCATTCCCTGTCATGGACTGGGAGACGGGGCTGATTCCTCAGCTGGCTGCAGGACTCACGCAGACCGATTCGTACCAGGGCAGAGGCGCGTCCCTGTACAATCTCAACATGTGCATTTAATTAGTCAGATCCTTGCCCTGTAGCGGGGATGCCGTTTGTCTGAACTTGTCACTCTGATTCTCTGTGAAGGAACATAACACTTAGGCACCGAATCAGAGCCCTTCCCTGCGCATGTCTCTCTCTTCTTCCAACTTGTAGGAAAATAGAGTTGCTGGTGACAAAGGACACAGATGGCGAGGTGTGGAGTGAGAGAGCTCAGCCCCGTTTACTCGGGGTCAGGCCGGATCCACCCACTTCCAGAATTTGGATCCAATACGGACATTAGTGTTTCAGACAGGGCAGGATGGGAGCCTCACTCATGGAAATGAAGAGAATGTTTATGGAAAATTTACAGAATATGTTGATCTATTTCTGTCAACTACAAAGATTGTTTACAAAAGGAAACTGAAAATAAAATGGCCTGTGCGTGCCAGCTTTTCTGGGAAGCAATCTAGTGACTCCTGCACTAGAGGGAGGGGCTTAGTCCCTGTCCCCCGGCTCCTCACTGATGTATTTGACACTGATAGGCTAACTCACCGGCATCTGCGATTTGTTTTCTTGTTTGCTTCTCAAGATAAAACATTGTACTTATTCTCATGACTCTACAGACACATTACGAGAATTAATAAGGTATTATTTTTCAAGCATTTTGAAGACATTCTGACTCTGCTATTTTGGCAAATAAAGTAGATAAATGAATGTATTAAGCCTCTCTGTACTCCACCTTTTTTAAAAAAAAAAAAAAAGAAATCACTAGCAGTTACTGGTTTTGTTTTTCATTTTACTTTATTCTCTTTTTTTTTCCCCAAAAAATCAAATCAGTAGAAGAGGTGGCTGATCTTGTTTTCACATGAAAAGGAAGAACAAGTCAGGGCTCCCTCCCCACCTTGTAGGCCTATCTTAATACAGTAAACTGAAAACTTATGTTGCTTTTCCTTCTCAGGAAAAATTCATATTCCAGCTATTCATTTGTAGCCTGCACTGTAATTAAACTTATTAAACAGAGAACAATGTTTATTTTAAGCTAAAAATTTAGAATTCCTGTGAAGTCTTACACTTGTAGAAAATCCAAAGGAAAGATGGGTTTTATTAAATGTCTTCTAGATCGGGGTGGCAGGGCCATCCCTACATTTATTGGTGCTCTGGCACTGAAAGAAAATCGTGCCCGGGTACTATAGCGCTAAGTGGTGTAAAGGGTCCTTGGTCAGCTCTGTGCAGCATGATATTCGATTTCTAAATAGAATGCAACCCCTGTTGCAGAGAAAATGTCACGGAGTTTATGTTATCATAATTTAACAATGCCTAATCCCATGAACATTGTAATGTAAGACATCTGTGGTGGGTCGAAGTTCACGTGTAATAGAAATCTTTCTAATGGGTTTCTGTAGGACGCAGGCGAGCAGGGTTCTCGGTGCCCCCTCTTCTGGTTCCATCGCACTGCTGAGCAGACCTTGCCCCCCGAAGCTCTGCTGGCAGCTGGGGAGATTGGGAAGAACCCAGCGAGCTGCCCTGAGGTGCTTGGTGTTCTGCTTCCGATGCGACTGTTCCAGATCAATTCACAATGGTCAAGAGCCCTATCCATCCTTCATGTCAAGTTCATTATATCCCCAAATATAATGAGATCTATGAAAAAAAAAAAACAGAAAACACATGCAAAAAAGTTGACTTTATCCTTCTAAACAGCTTATTTCACTACAATGTTTTAATAGCAAGAGTGACTATGTCACTTCTTGGCTTAATTCTTGGTCTGTGTGGTTTTCTAGTGTTGATTTCTGTTTGCTGACGCTCTTAGCAGCGCCCTGGGTTCCTCGGAGGTGATTTCAAACACACCTTCAGTGCTCAGACCCCTGTAAGCCTAGCATAGGAAACAAACACCGTTTCCACAGAATTACTTACTATGTGAAGGCGTTTTAAACATGACTTTGAACTGGAAATTTCAATACTCAAATTTATATAGGATTTAATTCTGGAGTTTTATTTTCTTGGCTTTGTTTTCCGAAAAGCTTTAAGCTACTTCTTATATGAAGTACCTGGAAAAAATATTACCTTAAATCTCATGTATACTTATCCTCACTGCACCATTATTAAGTACACAATCTTTATAATAAATATCTAAAATCCAGTAGTTTCAAAGGAAACAAAAAAGTTTCCTACTGATTAAAATTATTTTTTTCAATGACATGTCATATATCAGTAAAAACTATAAAACTTCTTGGTACATTATTTCCATTTTAATTGGTTGCCATTTAGCTGATTAAAAAAAACAAATGGGTTAGGCTTGTTTTTGCAAATGTATACACACACACATATTGCATAATTGAAGGAATTTGGAATTTTAAAAATTGGACTGATTTTGGGGAAACTGTACCACAAGTCAAGGTGAAGTAACTATGATGAAATCCACAGCAGGACACTTGTCCGCTGTGACACCCTGCTCCACACACCTTCAGGAAAGAAGCCCACCTTCCTAACTCTCGGCTCTCACATTCCGAACTTCCCTTTCAATGGGACCCGTAACTCGGTATGACCCTCTTTTTATGGCAACATACATCTTCTCTCTAGCTGATCAGAAGCCACGGCTTCACAGAGCACTTTTCAAAACCTTTTATCCTTCAAAATTATTTTCTAACTCGGCTTCAAAGGTGGAGTCCACCCCCTTTTACGAGAGTGACGCGCGCGGGTCGGCGACAAGGTCTGAAGGGTTTCTCCGCTGGCACGCTGCCCGCGCAGGGTGTCCGGAGGCGTCCTTCCAGCGGATGTTTATGACTCGGGGCCGCAGGACAGCATTTCCGAGCTGGTGCGCGCACAAGGAAAGGGGAAACGACTGCTGGGGAAATCTGTTCCAGGTTTTCGGGCAGCCCGCGTGATTGACACATGATATCACGGGAGGCGTGTCCTGGAGTGGAGGTGGAGGTGGAGGCCAGTTGCTGAAATTGTGCGGAGCCGGAGGGGCACTGCTCTGTAAGGCGAGCGGCGGTTTGCGGAGCGATAGCAGACGGAGCTCCCTACCCCGGAAAAGGAGCAGCCGCAACCGCCGTAAATGTGCCTGAGAAGCCATTCCCAACCTTTGCAGTAGGTAAGAGCCACTTCCTTCCTTTCCTTCCGTAGCCGTTTTAGGAAAGACTAGGTGAGAAATGTCGGCTTTTGCAAGAAACGAAGTGTTTCTTTGAACTTGTTTTAGATCTGGTTGCTGCAATTCCAATTTCCAGTAGCCTTCCCACTGCTAAAACCAGTGCTCTTGAAGCAAAATGGTACCACTGGTGGGGGGGGGGCCACCCCCGCAGGGGCCCTTTGATTACTTTCCCACTCTGCGAGCAGTAACAAGTTTAAAGTCCGAAACGGCCGGCTGAGCGACCAACTGGGCGGTTTGCGCGGAAGAGGGGCTGGCGCTCGGCGCGCGGACCCAGGGCGTGTTTGCTCAGGCCTTGTTGGCGAAGCGATAGTTTAAAACCTGAATTTCCCGTCTCTGTGTATTGATTTCCAATGCGCAGAGGCGTTGCTTGAACGCCGTTTGAACTCCCAGGCATTCCAAAGGGGCAAAAGCACTTCGGCAAAAACGTGCAAGACTGCATGTTGCTTTGGTTCGCGGCGGACACGCGGACTGCGCCCGCCTGTCAATCACAGCCAGCACCCACAGCCTGCACATGGCAGCGGGAGGCGGGCGGCCCGCCCCGCGTCCCCGCTCCTGGAGAGAGGGAAATTCATGTGTTTTTATCTCCAACCCTCTGTGGCAGGCACCTCCGCCGAGGAACAGGAGGGTCGGAGGACCGGGAGCGAGCGCTGGCCTGGGAAGCTGACCTGCCAGCACCCGAGCGCCCGGGACGCGGCGCCCGCTTGCGCGGAGTGAGGACCCGGACAGTGCGTGGACCTGCACGGGGCCGGACTACGCCCCTCCTCTTCCCTCGAGAGCCCCCCAACCTCGCTCCCTTCACCGCCCCCCTAAAAGAGCGGGTAAAAAGGGCCCACCCACACCCCCGGGGAGCAGAGGCCTCGGCTTCGCAGGCGTGCGCTCCTGGGCCCTGCTGTAGACGTCGGTTCGAGACCCGATCGGGGTAGCGGAGGCTCGAACGTCCTGGACGCGGATCTGCGCCCGTCGCCACCGTTGCCTTTCGCGGGAAAAGCGATCGGCACCAAGAAGCCTGCGGTCCGCGCACGGCGCGTACTGTCCTCCCCCCTGCTCCCCAGTCGGAGCCCCCGAAGGGACTGCGTTCTGGTTCTCGGACGGGCCGCGGGAGAAGAGCCCAGAAGTGGATGCTGCTGAGCCGCGCGGCCAAGGAGAGCTGTGAGCTGTCTGCGCCGGAGCCGTGAGCTCCGCGGCCGGAAGGGGGCCGCGGGGAGCGCTGCAGCCCGGCGGCGGCGCGGGCCATGCCCCTTCGCCCGCCCCGCCGCGCTTGATGCGGCGCCCGTCCGAGGCCCGCACCGGGACCTGGGCCCCCCGCCACCGCCGCGGCCTAGGTGAGTGTGGAGCGGGCGGGTGGCAGGTGCGGGCGCAGGCGGAGGACAACGACGCAGGGTCTCGTTCTCCTGTTTCCTGGAGAGGGGAGGCCGTGGCCCGGCCGTCCTTTTGGGGGACACTACCATTTGAAGGTGGATTCGGGGAGGCCTTTGGGTCACTCCCTGAAGGTCCAGGAGCTTCTTGACTTGTGCCGGCGTCAGGCTTTCTGTGGCGGAGTCGGGGTGCGACTGGACACTGGACAGGGCCGTGAGCGCGCGGGGCAGAGCGGGTGCTCGTTCGTGCGCGCGCGCTTGTGCGCGTAAGTGTGGATGTGTGCGCGCCCGGGGAGGCATACCCCAGAATTCGCATCAACCCTCGCGCAGGACCACCCTGCGTCTCCGAGCCCCAAGTCCTGCCCATTTTGCCCGCGCGGAGCGGTGGGGAGGGCACGGCCCCTTTAAAGGGCAGCCCGCCCTCCGAGTCATGGACATCTCCGCCTCCGCCCCCAGCCCTCTGGAGCGGGGGAGAGGACTTGTTTTCATTCATAACTTTTTCCTTTTCCTTCCTCTCCGTCAACTATTTATTCAGCGCTCTGGGCTCGGAGCGCAGAGGGCGCGCTCCCCTGCAGGCCCCGCGCTGTGGCTGCGCAGCGGTGCGGCCCCAGCCCCGCGCCTTCGGCCCCGGCCCTAGGAGGCCGCTGCGCGCCCAGGTGCAAAGGGGCGCTGCGGACTGTCCGTGCGGCCGGCCGGCTCGGGATCTGTGGGCCACCTCGCTTGGGACATAAACAGGTTTTGGAGAATCCACGGCGATCTTTAGGATTTGAGGGGCTTGTTCGAGAAGGTATCTATTTGGATCGTGTTTTCTTGGGGCGAACCGTTTGTCCAGAGCGTGTGAGCGTGTCGAGGGGTGGCTCAGGGACTGTCCCTGCTGCCCAAGGAACTTTGCCTCCGACCAGAAGTGGCTCACTTTCTTTTCATCTGCTGATCGACCTCCCCAGGCGGCGGGGACTTAGTGACCACGGTCAGTGAAAACGCTGCTTACAGCAGCGCCTGGGGTTTTCTCTCCGCTCTTCAAACCCCCCTCCAGCGCGTTTCCTGCGGAGAAGACTCTGCCTTAGTGTTTCCCACACTCCGCTGCCCTGGGAGCCGGGCCCCTCGGGACTGCAGGGCGAGACCCCGCAGGCCGGGACCGAGTTGGTTCCTGGCACAGAGGAGGAAGAATCAAGCAGATCCTTGGGAGATCCGAGTTAGGGAGAATGAGGAAAGGGACTCCCCGAAGCTGGACTCTAAGACAGCCTGGGGACCCCTTCACTCTCGTTATTAGCTGATGTGGGCTTTTCTCTGCTTTTATTCCTTAAGCTGGTGGTTTCCGGCTAAAGGCGGCGGCGCCGCCGAATGGGGATTTTTCTTTTCGTTCTTGAGGGGGTCGCATCCAGACTTTGGGAGGAATTTGTGTGAAAAATATTCTAGTTTACAAATGACTGAAAACGGAAACGTTTTTATGTTTGGTAGTTTTTTGAAGAATGCATTATAAATGAGCAATAGTTTACTATTGGTAAAGAAACACTGTTGCTCACTTTTATCAGGATTTTTTAATCAATGTGCTTATTTTATTACAAGAAGCACATTGATTCAGAGCTGGCAGTGTTTTTGAAAATCAGACTCTCTCATGTAAATACAGCTCTTTAAATCAGAGGAGATACAGATAATTAAAATGGCCAGGATTGCCCCCTGAACTGCTTTGAACGCCTGACACCAGTGCGTGGAAAGTTATCTTGTTGCATGAGTGAGCCCTTACTTAAACTTTTAAAAGTCCTTTCGTTATTTCAAAAGTGAATATTCTTCAACGTGAACAGAACCGTACACGGGGGTTGTGTGTGTGTGTGTGCGCGTGCCCTTTTGTGGCTATAAACACCGAGAACGTCTGCCTTTGTCTATGTTCACTTTGCATCTTGTATGTTAGTAATGAGCTAGTTTGAAAATCCTGGTTGCTTCAGAAGATGACGTCTGATTTCGAGATTCCATTTTACTTTGCAACCTCTCTTTTAATGGATGAAGTATGCCCTGCCTGACTTCCTCACCATGAATCTGACGCTCGTAACAGCAAACAAATGGCACAAGAAAACAACAGCACCCAAGCTGGTTTTCTGTGGACATTTCCCTCTGTGGGGCCACGGGTGAAATGGCCCTGGGCTTTCTAGTCCAGCGCCGGTGCTGGGGGTCCCCTCCACGGGCAAACTCCATTTTAATTGTTTGTTCGATTCTCCAACAGGGAGGCGTTACTCCTCCTTTTCTTCGCTTTGTAAAAGTTGAGTAACCTGATTTTCATGGCGCGGGGCAGGGGGGAGCTCTTGTTCACATCTCACATTCTTCTACCATGATGCGGTCCTCAGCCTCTCTGGGGCTGGACCCTGGCCAGGACCCGAGCATCACTGTCATCCGCTGATGAAGGTGATCATTACCAGGTGCTTCAGGCAATTTGTGACTGGACAGGGTTTGTCTGCCCCCTCCCCCAAATACTTCCTGTCATTTATTTTCTCTCTCTGTTTTTTTTCATGTTTGATTTCCCTGTAGAATTTCAGATGCACGCCAGGTCTCCGCTGACACCCAGCGTCCAAGACCACCTCACATGGATCCCCCAAACCAGCGTGGCAGCGGCGGTTCCTTGGTCGTGACCCAGCAGCCTGCCCTGGCCAGCCGGCAGCGGCTGGACTATGACAGAGAGCTTCCGCCGGCTGCTATTTTGTCCTTGGACCAGATCAAGGCCATCAGAGGCAGCAATGAATACACTGAGGGGCCCTCGGTGGTGAAAAGACCCGCTCCCCGAGCGGCCCCCAGACAGGAAAAGCAGGAGAGGACTCATGAAATCATACCGATCAGTGTGAACCACAACTACGAGCAGAGGCCCGCAGGCCCCACGGGACCCGCCCATCCCGCCCGAGGCCCCGTCCTGAGCAGGTCCACCAGCACTGGGAGCGCCGCCAGCTCTGGGAGCAGCGGCAGCGTGTCTTCCGAGCAGGGGCTGCTGGGCAGGTCGCCCCCGGCCAGACCCGTGCCTGCCCATCGCGCTGAGAGGGCCGTCCGGACCCAGCCCAAGCAGCTGCTGGTGGACGACCTGAAGGGCTCCTTGAAAGAAGACCTGACCCAGCACAAGTTCATTTGTGAGCAGTGTGGGAAGTGCAAGTGCGGAGAGTGCACGGCCCCCAGGGCCCTGCCGTCCTGCCTGGCCTGCGACCGCCAGTGCCTCTGCTCGGCCGAGAGCATGGTGGAGTACGGCACCTGCATGTGCCTGGTCAAGGGCGTCTTCTACCACTGCTCCAACGACGACGAGGGTGACTCCTACTCGGACAGCCCCTGCTCCTGCTCCCAGTCCCACTGCTGCCCCCGCTACCTGTGCATGGGAGCCATGTCCCTGCTCCTGCCCTGCCTGCTCTGCTACCCGCCCGCCAAGGCATGCCTGAAGCTGTGCCGGGGCTGCTACGACTGGGCCCACCGCCCGGGCTGCAGGTGTAAGAACTCCAACACCGTCTACTGTAAGCTGGACAGCGGGCCCTCCCGGCCGAGGGGGAAGCCCTCCTGATGGGGCGGCGGGTTGCACCTCCTGAACCCCTGATTTTCAAGGTGCGGCTGTTTGCAAAAGATGCTGTTAAATACTAGCTTTCCTTCCTTCACGGCGGTGCCACCTCCTGCCGTCTCCACCCCTGTTCCCAAGGCCTCGTGGACGCCGCCCTCCCTGGACAGCCCATGAGAGTGGACGGGGAGACCGCCCCGGCTCCCGCTCAGGACAAGAGCCTCTGCCACGCCCTGGAGAGCGCGTCGGGAGTCACTGCTGGGTTTCTTGAAGCCTTTCCGTTCTGCACCAATGTCCCCAAGTTGTCCCCAGTGACGACCCCACACACACCCAGGCCACAGCGATTTAGAGCTCTTTTTCACGGGGTTGCTCTGGAGGCAGGCGAATTGGCTTTTGAAGAAGTCGCTGTTTAATTGCTGAAATAAGCTATGTATTAAATCTCTCCAAGTAGGTCTGTCTTCATAGTGTTAGACCCGTAAGTAGTCTGGGGCATATTTTTGTTGTAACACACAGATTTCCCCTTAACCACTGCCTTCTTGCCCCTCAGAGTTCTCGACTCTCAGTTTTGGCATTATCTTCTTTCGAGAGATGCCAGGTATTATAATTATTGTTGTTATTTTTTGTATGTAATGGTAGATCCACTCTACAATGTCAGCCTTCACATTGGAGATACATTGTATCTAGCTGATCCTTATTCTAGCTTTTATATTTGTGAAGGACTCAGCTGCCTTCCTTCCACACCCCACCCTTTTCACCAAATTTCTTCTGTTGTTGAGGGCCCTTGGGTTCCTGAAGTTCCTATTTATAGCTGATCAGTCCACAGGTGTCGGAGAAGAGCACCGTCTAAAGGGATCCTGGCCCCTTCATGGTCCCTTTGGGCCCTTGGTTAGTTAACAGCTGAGGACGTCTAATCTTTTCTGTGTTTTCATGGCCTTAACCACAAATTGTGGTGCTTTTTGTATATTTTATGTATAAATCACAAAGTTGAATTCTGACTATTTTTAAGACAAAAAGTCTGTTAAACTTTTTTATTGTAAAGAATATTTATTATGCGAATCTCTATTATTTTATGGTATTTATTTCAAAAGACTGTTGAAATGTACTCATGTCTGAATATAACAAAATATCAATACATAACGGAAAATAAGGTGATACGAAGAAAGTACATATGTTAACTATAATGCAGAAATATATGAATTAATGAAACTGTCTCCTGGTTTCTTCATTGATTGGCCAGTACTGTTTGGTGATTTTGGTTCCTTGCTTTGGCTCTTTCTTCAAGCACAGCCATATAATTTTTTGTCCCCTTACCATACCCAATCTAGACACAGGTGAGCTCAAATTTTAAACTAGCTATTTCCTGGAAAACGCAGTGAACAAATTAGTCATCTGAATTGTTTCAACAAACTCCTAAGCGAGTCTCCATGAAGTGAAAATGTTTTGCACTCAGTATAAACAGTCACTTCCACTTTGGCTGTTTTGTAAGCAAGAGGCTCTGTGTGCATCACAGTTTCTCGGAACGGGACAGGTCTAGAAGCTCATAAAAAGATGTGTCTTCACTCACTTGGGTTGATCTGAAATTAGTCTTCATCAGCAAAACTTAAAAGCGCGCTGATTTCTGTAGTGTGCTCAGAGTCCCCGGCATGGTCGCTTTAGTGAGACATTCTACAAGTTACAGTACGCCAAGGGGATAGTTCACATCATCAGAGAGTTTTTGAAAAGCATTCCCGTTTTAAAAACCTGGTTGTTTTAAAAGCACCCCGACCTTTCTGTGTCTCTAGTGAGTCTTGAATGTGGCCCACCCAAGTGATGTCGTTATGTCCTCTGGGGTAAGGAATCTGAAACTTCATGTAGAAAAAGTGAGTATTTTTATTTTTAGTCTTCTGAAACCGATGTATAGCTGGTGTATTTTGGGCCCGATAACATTCTGTCCAAGGGAATCCCCAGAATTGCTTCGCTAACAACCTGGCCTACGTGACGTGACAGACTGATCGATGATCTGTGAGACCATGTTGACAAAATCTGAACCCAGGATGTAGTCTATCAGAACTCTTATCCAGCTGTCGTGTATTGATTGGTGTCTCTTGGATGATTTGGTTCCTAGTTTTAAAAGTATCTTTCTTCGTAAATAGGCCTCGGTTTTGTTTGAATCAGACAAAATCTGAGTGACAGAAAACAAAAATGCTTTCATGCTTCCTCTTCCAGCCCCTAAGCCTCTTACTTAGCATTGTGGCATTTGATCACATTGTTTTCTTTTATCTCTGGGTGGATATTTGTGTTCTAGAGGCTACTTCATCATCTGGTCTTTCAAAATGTCAACCGACTTCCTCTCGTACTTAAGTTATGCGATGTTATCTCTGGTCCCTTAATACTGAGTATTTCACTGAGGTTTGGCTCCTGAGTGAACGACATGTTTAAGGCACACACTCCCTCAAAGTACTGTGTTATTTTTTTCTGTTATTATTCAGACCCTTGGTGTGATTCGGAGCTGGGGTGAGGACTGTCTGTAGCTCTGACAACCAGACCGAAGCTGTAGTTCTTGTCGAGAGAAATGTGTAACTTTCATGGGCATACAGTACATTGGGGAGTTGTAACTACAGGCTGTGTGTGCGGAATGCAGTCAGGTAATGGGTTGGCGCTGGTGTCTGCCGAGGTGTCTGGCCCGCCCTTGGAAGCAGCGGGAGGTCAGAGGTGCAGACTAAGACAGGCTTAGCCGATGGCAAAGCAGAAACACTTGGATTCAAAACTTCCCCCTTCGTGATGGTTTATGCCTAGAAGGAAAAAATATTAGGCTGCGTCCTCTTAAGTGCTTTTGAATCTGAGGCTCTGAAAGGTATCCCCAAAGCTGAAATTCCCACAGTACCACTTGCCATGGATTTGATCTGCCAAATGGAAAGTCACGGGACAGAAAGATGGGCTAACATCTTTCTATTCCACATTTGTTTTCTTCCTCGACTACTGCAGCTTGACAGAATGAACCTTTCTCTTTGTTTCTTTCCTGCCTATTTTTCTGACTGCCAATGTTTTTTCAAGAGTGTTTTCAAGAGAATGTAATTGTGAATCAGACCGATACCGATCGCTGTCATTGACTACTTTCCTGTTAATAGTGTGTGTGAAACACAACCCAGCAGAACAAGGAAGTGGAACGACCAGGTGATTGATGCTCCCTGTTTGTGAAGACTGAAGGTGAATCCCAAACTGTAGCCTGTGGCAATTATCCTGTGGTTTTCAAAACCCAAACCATAGAGCATTCCAGGTGCAGCTAGGAAAATAGCAGCTAAAATGCAGGGGTCTTCAAAGTGAAAGGAAGGAAGTTAGAAACGCATTGTGTTTCTACCCTGAAATTGGTGTTGGAACCAGCTCAGGGGGCTCATTCCTAGAAGATTGATTCACTTTTTGAAATTGTCTCCTTTTCCTAAATCATTTAAAAAAAAATAAAATGTTACATTTCAAGGAAGTTTTTAGCTGTAGCTCTTGAGAAAAACAAACCCTTGTTGAAACATTGACATACACACAGTGCTCCTCTAAAACTCTGCTGTGCAGACTTTGTTATTGCAAGAGAGTTTGGAACCCTAGAGTATCTTGAAAAGATACTCAAAACAGTTGAGGGCTGTTTTTTTCATTATTCCCCTGTTCAGATATAATCGAGATAGCGACGTACTTAATTGACAAGTTACTGATTCTTCTCCTATTCTCTCGGACGACCACCGAGCCGTGTTGCCGCCCTACTGTCCTGGCAGAAGAGTTCGACAGCTAGACCTGCACCTCGGAGTCCGCCTGGCCTGCGGCTCCTCCGCTGTGTGAGGCCTTTCCAAAGTCCGTGTCAGCTCCGAGGACTCTCCTGGGCAGGAGCTTCTTGTACTGTGTTCTGTACTCGTGGGGGATTTCAACCGGCCCTTTCGAGCGGCCTTCTCAGCGTTGCGTCTTCATGTTGGGGATGTAGAGACCAAGGCCTGGCTGGAGCAGGGGACCTGCGGGGACGGGCACAGAGCCAGGGCTTGCACGCTGGGGGGTGGGTGGGCCAGCATTCCCTTCGGTCGTGGCGGTGGGTGCTGCGCTGGGCATCAGCCTCCAGCACGGCATCCTCATTCCCCGGGGCTCTCCTTTCACAGCGAGTGTGTGTGCCCATCGGTCGGGGAGCGAGTGCTTCTCTGTGTGTATTGTGAGCCCCTAGCTCTCAGCAACCAGTAGCAAGTGACTGTTGTCATGATTATTTTCATGTGTTCATGTCAAGGTTAGCAGCTCCATTGGAAAACGGCACGTGTGCCTCCTCTGGCCAGGTGTCCATGAGCACGTGGAAGGAAGCGGTTTGTGGAAGGGAAGGTAACTCGGCATCCAGATTTAAGAACTCGAGTGGTGGTGCCTCCGACTGTCATTCCTGGGGGCAGTGCGGTCACAGTCACTGGACAGCAGATCCAAACGTTCTCTTTTGTCCAGTTCAAAAGACCCCTGTTTCATGCCAGACAGTTGGGTAGACCGGGCATCAATTCTAACTGCCGGGACTGTCAGGGAATCTAGACCTGGGTAGTTTGGGCGCCTATGCCAGAAGCCTCCACTGTTCACCGTACTCCGATAGTTCCTTTTGATAAAAGTCATGGAAAACAGTGCTAGAAGGAAAGCTAACAGCCATTTAATTCATCTTCGGCCGAAAGCTGAGAAAGCCAGGTGCAGAGAGGTCACTCACCCAAAGTCAGGGTCTCGGTGCCAGAAATAAAATAAACTTCCCGGAAACCTACGTGCGGCCTGTGGACACGTGGTGAGTGGTTAGGAGAAAGGAGGTTGTCGGGTGGCTTGAACGAAAGCCCCGGGTGAATTTACATTATAAAATGGAACACACGTGTGGAAGTACCGTGGACTGGTGCTTGTCCGAGGCAGAGCACCGAGTGCCGTGGCGGGGAGTCAGCGGAAAGGAGCAGAATGGGTTCGGCGTAGGGCGGTAAACAAGGCGCACCTTTGGGAAACCCAAGTTGCGGTTTGGTTAGCAGCCGTCCCGACTCCAGCTGTGTGTGAAAACTCAACCACAAACTGTGCTGGGCCGACGCCCCGCCAGGCAGCCAGTCAGAACCTCCGGCTGGGGCTGGGTGTCGCTTTGTCCTACAGGCTCCCCAGGTGCAGTGGATTAGAGGTATGTGGGTGGGGGGGAGTTGTGGGGGATTAAAACAGCAGATTTAGAGAAAGAAAGGCAGAGAGATTAAGGATTGGAACTAGCTTGGAGGTTGGCGGGAATGGGAAGAAGAGGCCAGGGTGGGAAATCGGGCCGAGGGTCCCTTCTCTAGGGCTCGGTAGTTATTTGCATGTGGGCGAGAGATGGAGGAAAGAACTGAAGGTCAAATGGGCTTGTTAGCAGGAGTGAGTGGAGTTTGTTTAGGAGGCCCCAGGGACGGGAAAAGTTCGGTTCTCTCAGGAGAAACCCTTCAAGGGCCTGCCGGTGAGTCTCCACTGGTCCTTGAGGAAGAAGTCTACAGTTTAAAGGACATGGGCGGTGGCCTGCCATCCCCGTGGGGGTGACATGGGAAAGGACGGGATTAAAGCAGCCCGTGGACTGAACCTGGAGGACCATACCTACCTGCACGGAGCAGGGGCAGGAAGGGCACAGGGCCAGTAGGTGAGGGGTGGTCTGAGGAGCATGGGCCCCAGGAGACAGGTGTGTTTGAGATCGGAGGGAGATTTCAATATGGAAGCTAGTCATTTAAATATCAAACGCTGTGGAGACTCCCAACTCAGTCTGGTGGGTGGTGTTCAGGTGAGATTGTGGTGATAAAAGCCAGGTTGCTTGGGATGAGGAAACCTGTAGATGGTGGGTACCTGGAGATAACGGCTTGGACTCTTCCAGAAATTTGGGGTAGGGAGGTAAGCAGAGGCAGGTGAAGAGGGTTTAGAGTAACTGAAACCTGAGCCTTTTTGTGGAAAGAGAGCAAAGGCAACAGCAGGAGAGGCAGTGGCCGACCCTTCCGCTGGCCCGCGGCTCCTCGAGTGGGAGGAGAGGACAGAAGAGGGGGCAGGGGCCTTTTCACCCAGGTGGGAAAGGCTCTTCTCCCGGAGTGAAGGATGAAAGGAGAGGAGGAAGACAAAGACAATGGAGTTTGAAGATGAGAAGGGGGAACCGCACCCTGATTTTGGTGAGCAGAGGATGTCCTTCAATCAATAGTTAAGACGCGTGGGGGACCGAACTTGGGTCTTGAGAACAGGGGTCTGGGGTGGCTTCTTAGGGTGCTGCTGATGC